CCATCCCGGGACTCCAGGATCATGCCCTGGGCCGAAGGCAATGCTAAACCGCTGAGTCACCTGGGCTGCCCAGCTATAAATTTTAAATATGCTGTGTTCAAGTTATAAATTTAAATTATAAATTTAACCTGAAGTTACTCTACCCTTGTTTGAAGGGAAAAAAATCAGTCTTTTAAAACCTGTATTTGCAACACATGTTGACACCTTACATATTAAAAATAATTTAAAAATGGAAACATCTGTAAGCAGTTTCAGACAGATAAAAATGAGAAGGTTTCTATATTTTCAACATCTTCCTCCTTGTTTAAGGGCTATCTTTACACACACATTGCTTAGGAAACTGCCACCGCTGTGAATTCATTGACTGCTACGTTAAGAACTCTGTTGTGGGAAACGATTTGAAAAGGAGAGCTTTTTCTGTGAAAGTTTCAAGATGTGTTCAATGATCTGAAATATTTCCAATAAGATATAGTTGAGGAGGCAGACTGTGGAAATGGAAAGAAGTCAACCAAAAACTTCAAATAAGGTTTTGTATATACTCAATTAGAACCTTTTACTGAAGTTCAAGGCCTAGATTATTTTGTTTATTTTATTCTTCATTAAAGTGCACCTCTGCCTCAAACCAGAAGTTAAGTGCCAAAATTTTATGCATGTCTCTTCTCAAAGTGTTTCCAGAAAGATGAGAAACAGAAGTACTCACAACTTGTGAGAAACTCTGTCTTCAGATTTCTAGCTCCATTTGTATAGATTTTGGTGCAGAGTTTCACAAATTGTTGTCCTATGGAACACTAATCCCAAAAGATGCATCATGATAAAAACTGTTTAGTTAATCTGAGCTTCCCAAAAACTTGAGAGTGAGACTCTTAATAAGTGAACACCTGATAAAAATATACTGAATGTACTCAAGAAAATAGTGTACTGGAGTTTGGAATCAACATCCATGTTTTGGATTATGCATTTAAATCTAAACTAAACTTACTGCTGCTGGACATCATCAGGAAAAATATAACTACTTTGCCTATCTAGTTTTAGGATGCTGAAGCTGTAATGTTGTCCTTCCGATTGACTTTTATTTGTAGAAGTCTATGTATCTAGCTGAAATGGCTTCTCCCAACTGATCTGGGTAGGGAAAATGTAAGAGAATCAATAAAAGACTTCAGGACAAAATGGGATAAAATTAAATTTGATGACAGAGGGGTTAAGGCAGAATGGTGCTTAAGAAAATCTAGTTCAGATAAAAAATAAAACGGACAAAGAAACAGTTTTTATACATGTAAAAGATTAATAGGCTAAAATATTTTGAAAGAGAAGCTTCCAGAATAACCAGATGGAGAGTGACAGTTACTAAGGAGATGTTATAGTGATTCCTTGCTTCCTGACAAGATATCAATGGGTAAAAGAAATAAGAAGATATATTAAATCAAAAAGGAGAGACTCTCATGCTAGTGTTCATAGCACTGGGACATCATGAGCACATTTCTAGTCTGACAAGTTAGAAGACATGGCTTTTTATCTTGGTTCTGACACAATAAGTGCGTGATTTTGGACAAGATATTTATATTCTTATTAACTGGGGCTTGTAATATCTACTCAGTCTGTATCTCTATATTGCTTTAAGAATCAAAGGAGATAAGGGCTTTAAAGGACTACACAATTATAATGGTATATCACAACAATGTGATTAATAGAGATAGAATGTGATTTTTTTCGGGCAAGAAAGCTTTGGATTCAAATCAGTTTGGAGAAATGAGAAGAAAGGGCTGACTTCCCAAGTAGATAATAACCAATGGAGGAGAAGTATCTAAGGAAAGGGAATAGTTTCTTTGAAGCCAAATAGGAAGATAAGATGAAAGAAAGGGATGAGCAGTGTTGAAGAAAAAGGAAGGGCCAAGAAGAAATCAGTCTTGCCTGAAGAAGTCTAAAGAGTTATTAATATAAAGGTATTACCTAATAAATTCAATAGATAATTACTATAGTATAAAAGTTGTTAAAGAAACTCCAAATGAAATGAGTTGAGAAAATGATTGGAAGAAATAATTAACTGGTAAGACCTGCCATTTGGGAAACAATGTGACATATTTCCATTTGGCCAATAGTTGTCATGCATATATTTCATTAAACACTGTGAGATGTCTGTGATGCAGAGCAGGGTTCTTACTTCTGTGAGAAGTCCCTTCTTTACTTTGCATAAATATCTATTTTGAGATGACAGGCTATTTGGATTTCTTTTGATACCTGGTAGTCACAGTGCATTAAAGGTTGTTCAGCGAATTATTAAAATTAATGTTCTTTTCATCATGTTAAGTGAATATTCCTTTTACTCAGGAAATGATGGCCTTTTCTTCCATAAGCCAGTGTGGAGTGGTTTCATTTGGCACCAGGTAATTCTCTGATCAACTTTAAATTATTTGATCAACTTTCCAAAGTATCCTGAAAAACAAAACAAACAAAATTTCCTTATGAACATCTCAGATAGTAGCCATCTTTAAGTATATACTCTCTTGCATGGAGAGTACATCAAAAGACGAAGTGGAAAAACATTGGTGTAAAAATTTTTTAAAAATAGAATTATTTCTGAAACAGAAGTTCCTTATAGCTACTGATGTTTTATTTGAGGTATTCTCTCTAAAAATAAATTGTTAGGGTAGGAACGGTATCATTTTATATTTTGCATAGAGCCGAGTAATAGCACTTTGCAAGTGATAAATACAGGTTAAAACTATAACATGATATTTTCTAATATCTAATAATATTACCTACTGATTAAGAAAACTAAAAGGCCAATGCTCACCTTTTTGTAGGAACAAAATGATAATTCAGATTTTTATCTAGTATTATATGACTATATCATCCAAATTTTGATCTTTACATTCTTATCATTTTAATGGCTAATTCTAAGTCTTCTTGGTAGTATACTATAACGCTTGCAAATTTAAAAGACAATTTTTTGGTAAGTTAACTGACTTTGTATTATGGGCACCTTACATCTGATCATTAGGAGGAAAAACAAAAACTTAAAAAGTGAATTGACAATGAGCTAAGGCATCAGTTTTGGTTAATTCTCAAATATGAAGGCCAAAGATTACGAGATACAGAGAAAACCTCCCCTTTGACTCCATAGCAAGTGTACTAATCACTTACCCAGTGGTTGGATAAACTTTTTAACCAACAGAGAAGGGTTTTTCATTTGTTTGTCTTCTTTTGTATATTTTTAACCTTTAATTTCAGCAGCAAATTATTGACACAGAAGAAAATACTGAAAGACAGTGAATCATACCTACTCTTTATGGATAATGTCTTTTATTTTACCCTGACTTCCTTGCCTAATTTTTCATTTCCAAAAGACGTCTTCAACAATATACCTTTTCATCAAATGATACCAATATCATTTTCCCCCAATCTCTATACCCAGGTTCTATCCAAATTGAGTTTATTTAACAATCAGGGCAGGGCTCCTTTCATTACTGGTGTCCCATAGAATGAGAGCATCCCAAAATAGTGGTGTAGCTTCTCTCATCTTGCACAAGTCATAAAGCTGCCCCTGACAGGTCTCTATGGAAATTTTCATATGCGAATCTGAACATGCTGCTTCAAGGTATTGTAAATTAGTATATTAACATGAATAGAAGCATCCCAACATTTTTCAGGCTTGGTTCAACAGGCAACTTTCCTGCCATATTCTGAGCTACATTTTCTTGAGGATGGGTTTGCTGGCAAAGACCTGGAACGCTCACGAATGGTTCTCCCTATATTTCTTAATCTGTATAAAGGACAATCAGATATTCCAGCTCGTCCCCCAGAATGTCAAGTAGGAAAATTTGGCTCTTTTAACATGGCCTATTTTATGATTTAAGTATTAAATTCAAAACATTCCCTGGAGTCCCCTTTTTGCAAACTTATAGGAATGATTCAGTGCTATATTTCTCCAACGTAAATTAAGTGCCCAGTCTGGTATGTTACAATTGAATAACACCTTGTAAACTAAAGACTGGTTCAACCTCCTGAAAATGGACCTGAGGCAACTGAATCAGGCTTTCCTCTGAGGAATCCTAGTATATTATACACTCTATAAAATGTAAATACTTTTTATTTACAGTCAGTTGCTAGGATCCAAGAGTGCTTCTGCATTCCCTATCATTTTTAATGTGCAATTTGCAACGGGAGTATCTTTGGCAGAGTTCTGAGAGAAGGAAGGTTCTCAGCTGAAGATTACATCACCCTGAGCAAAGTCCCATCTTTTTGTAAGACCAAGCCACCAGTCTGTGGTCTTCCTGTTCAGAGCCCTCTGTGCAGTGATTTGGGAACTTGTGGTGCTTTCAGGCCTCATTCTGAAACTTAGGTTGAGAGACGAAATAAGCTGTGGTTATGATACAGGACCAGACATCAGAAATCTTGAGACATCTAATTCACTGTGATTTTCATAGCCTGCTTTCTGGTCCTGTAATTTCTGCATCCATATGCTATTACCTGACCCCATAGAATTATTGTGAAATTTAATCACTGTTAATGTTTTAAGAATCCCAAATGGGTGCAATGTAAATAAAAAAAAATAGTTTCTGTATTTTGTTGTATTTTCTTGGACTATTCTATCAGTTTCTTATTGGACCTATTTCCTTAATGAAAGTTGTTATACTGTAACTTTTACAAACTATGATTATTTGGGTCCAAGTCAACTATCTTGTATATGAGATGTTCCCCAGGAAATAATTATATTTAGGAAGTAAATATTACTCTGACAACAGCTGGTCTAATAATTTGTCATTTGATATGTTATATATGTAATTCCTATTTTAATATATGTATTAAATATTTATATATAAATAACACATTATATATGTTAGAATATATCATATGTATATATTCCAAGACTGTCATTTATAAAATATTTCCATTGTGACATACCTAACTGAAATTTCTAACTTTAAATAAACTCAGGATCTAGTTGAGTCATATTTTTTGTGTAGCATTTTTAAAATAGTCACATCTTTATTTCCTTGTAGTTTATTAGAACATAAAATCTTAGAAATGGAGGGAAAGCACAAGGAAGAGTTGGACACCTTAAAAGAAGAGAGAGAAAATCTTCAAGTCTTGGTTACTCGCCAAACATACATAATCCAGGAACTGGAGAAACAATTGAACAGAGCCACCAACAACAATAGTGTCCTTCAGAAGCAGCAACTGGAGCTGATGGACACAGTGCATAACCTCGTCAACCTTTGCACTAAAGAAGGTGGTAAGAATTTCTTCAATTTGGCATAGTAGATATTTTATTTAACATGGAGCAAGTAAATATTCAATACAACTTTCTGTATTGTATTGATTGCTGTATAAAAACAGCAAAATAACTTTATTCTTAGAAGCATTGCATGAAGTTCGTACTCACAATTTTCTCATGTTTTTAATGTCAGAGAATGTATTCATAGGCTTGAATTTGTGAATTCACAGTATCTTTCTAAAAGAAGTTTCTAGTTTCCTCTTTCTTGCTTGTTCTTTTTAGCATTAGATAAAATCTATAATGCTGTCATGGATAAATATTTGATGTTATGCTGTTAGACACTTAAATGTAGAGGACAGAAATTAGCCAGTGTTAAAGATTAATTCAGAGTCTTGGGGAGAGTTTCAGGAAGATTTCCATATTAAAACTAATATTAATCGTTTCTTTTGTAGAGGAGGAGAAGGAAGAGTTCCCTACAAATAAAAGGAGATATAGCGGTTCCCAATTACTATTTTGCAGGAGAAAGAATCTTGGTTATTCAAAGTCTTTATGGGGATCCCTGGGTGGCTCAGTGGTTTGGCACCTGCCTTTGGCCCAGGGCACGATCCTGGAGTCCCGGAATCTAGTCCCGCATTGGGCTCCTGGCATGGAGCCTGCTTCTCTCTCCTCCTGTGTCTCTGCCACTCTCTCTATGTCTATCATAAAATAAATAAATTAATTTAAAAAAAAAGAACTCTTATGTGGAGAAGACCAAACCAGGGTGTATATATATATATATATATATATATATATATATATATATATATGTATTAGTTTCAGGTGTTGGAAATACAAATTTTTAATATGACTAATATCTGGAGCCACTTAACCATTGAAAATATTGTAGTCCTGTGTCTCTTTAGAAGATATTTATCCATCTGCCCATCCCCACCCAACAGTTATTGAATGAGTGCTTCTGTGTACACTTGTCCACTTCAAGAAAATCCTCTCCCTAGCTTCAGGAGAGCTCTTCAAAGTTTGGAGCTTAAAGTCATCTTCTGTAGTTCTGCTTGCTAATCAGCCTTTCTCTGAGTGAAGATGCGATGAATCGTAAATAGTGATGAGTGAAAGAGAAGACCACTTACATCTGAAAGTTATGGTTGTCACTAAGCTGTGGCTTATATGACCATTCATGTGGTAGTTCTGTGCACATATGTAATATACCTACTACAGAGGCTCCTTTAATTTAATAGTGGACTTGAGCTATATGAAAAATTAGCTCAATTCCATCCTTTCATGTATAGATATGAATATAGATGATACTTCCATATGAAGTGATCTTGTTTTAAAGACATTTCACATTTCTCTATTACACTCCATTACCTTGAGTTATATCTCCTTTAGATAGTCGAAACAAGTCCTTAATATACTTTGTAAGGAGTATTTTTTAAACAGTAAGTTCCCAGAGCTCCATTTGGGTGTGCTCAGAAATGTGATTGGGAAGGAAAAAACCTGCTAATCAGTCAGCGCCTGCCAAAACCTTGAGTTAGAGTCCACTGGAAGGAAAGCTTGGTATGATTTTGCCAGGGAATTTTAATAGAACTCATGAGTATTTAGAAATTAAGTATTAATATGAGACATATCTATTCTCATATTGAACTGAATACATTAGAGGGAACATTGAAAACATATTTTTCTTATCATCCTGAGACTTAAAGCACATGGAGTTGAGTATTTCTTTTTTTTCTTTTTTCATGATGTTAGAAATATCAAGCCCTGGTGATTCTCACAGAGCTCATATGTCTGCCTACTTATCATAATTTCACTTCTTTTCTGATTATTTGTCTAATAAATATGTCTTTAAACTTTTAGAGGCAGAGCTGGAAGTGACTGCAAAAGTGAAATTCCTGGCTAGGTTTGAAGTTTGGGTGCAACATCAGGCAACCAAACATCTGTTCAAAAAACATTTATCAAAAATTATGATCCTGATACATGCTACCCATAACATACACTCAGGGTATGAGAAAAGTAACTGTGTCTCTTTTGTGATATAGCATATCCAAAACAAATAAAAATAAGATAGATAAATTGTCTAATACTTCAGGCTTCTCAATATTTATTTTCTTTTTAGTGATACAATCCTAAAATAAATTCTGATGTAATTGCAGGACTTGTGATCATCATGTAAGTCTATTACCCCATTTTCCAATGAGATCTGTGCTCTAGTAATCATAGATTTTATTTGCTGCTTGTTATATTTGTTTTCTTTAATTCTATAGTTAATATCCTAACCAAATATTTGATCATTTAAGGACTCAAAAGACACAAAAATGGAAAATGCCTCTTACTAAGGTTTCCATCAAGATTTTAATTCTCTGCATATCTTCATTTTCACTGGTGCCATATTCTTTAGTTTTGGTGAATTTGAAATATTGGATTAGAATAAACTTTTATTTCATCCTAATTCCAAAACATATAAGTAAAACCTTTCCCTACTTTTGTGACCAACAACTCGTTTATTAAATGGATTTATTATTTATCAAGGGATTTTATGTAAATATTCTACTTTCATATTTAAATATATGCAAATACACCTAATCAATATACCACAATAAATGTGTCAGTTTTAAAAATGTATATTTTAAGAACTCAAAGAATAGTCTTCTAGAAGATTTTCTAAAATCTTCATGAGCTGTGTTATAATATAAAAGCCAAAATGTTTAATTGACTTCAGGGTCCTCTCTTTCTAACTTGACCCAATCACTTACGGAGACAGCCTGGATATAATACTACAAAGTATGAGAAGAAATTTTTAGTGAATTTTCTTTGTCATCAGCCACTAATTTAACCTTTATGAAACTGTTTCATCATTTTATAAAGTCAGGATAATTGTGTCTACTTCTCAGTGACAGGGAAAGGGTTAAATTAGGTACTGCCTATAATAGCAGACAGCATATGACATAGTTGACTCACTAAACTTTAGTTCCTTCTTTCTCCTCCAAGTGACAAGGTTCAATTAAACACAAATTTATTAAGTGCTGTCTATAACCAAACTTTCTCTCATGGGAAATGTCTGATATACAGTTAGTGCTCAAGTATGTTTAACTGTTGACAGCCATTCAAGCAGTTTCTTTTAGCCTTGGTTTTCTTATCTAAAATGGGGTCATAATGCATACCTGATGAGTTTTTAGTAAATTAAAAGAAGTTTTCATAGAACATACAGCATTGATGCCTATTAATAGTAAATGCTGAAAAAATGTAGTTTATTTTTAAGTCTTCTAACATGTTTATAACTCACTAAAGTTACATGATAAAAGCATTCTTAGGAAGTGTTGGCTGGCAATTTATACTTTCCCTAACGTGTGTTTGGTCCAGGAATTATAAATCCATCTTTGCATGTAGGGATTATTTTTGTTTAGCTTCACAGAACTTTTCCTACTAAAATAGCTAATGTTGGAAGATAAATTCAAGCTAAGTACAATTTTTAATAAACAGACTTTTTGAAATAATTCACCAACCTGTCCTCTTGTTCCAAACAGGCAGTTGTGGTGTCTTAGGCAAATAATCATTTCAAACTGAATTGCATTCATTTTGTATTGCTTCTGGTAACACATTTATTTTTGTCTGACTTTTGTCTGCAAACATTTGGCCACATTTATTCTTAGAAACATTACCCACTAAAAAAATATTGCCCTCAATGTTATCATAACATCAAAACCTAGCTGATTGCTTCATATTTCTGGCAATTCACAGTTATTGCTGGAATTAAGTAGTTTACATTGATAATGGCATGGAAACAAGGCTTGGAATTCTTCTGGGAAGGATAATCAGGTACTGTGGCCGTCAAACATTCACCAGTCATCTTTATGTTCAGATGTGTTTAAGCTATTGTCACATACATTGAGTACACATGAAGCAAACATTGTATCATGTGATCAAGAATTTAATTAGTAACAAAGCATTTTTAAAAAGGAAGAAAGAAAATAATATTTAGCCTTCCCTCTTCACCATGGGCTGGTTTTCTTACTGTCTAAATCACCTTGGAGAATCTTTCTGCAGAGGCTATTTCAAACAGCTCAAAGAACATGTATGTTTGCCAGAAGTCATGGCAGGGAGTGGCATATACCTAAATGCATAGCCTAAATCTCAGAGTTAAAGCCAGGGTAACAGTAAAGATGGAGTTAGAGAGGTATTGAGAGAGATCAAGGAAGCTGCATTTTTTTTTTTCTCTGAAAACAGTAAGGAGTCATGTCAATATATGAGGACAACGTTGGCATTACATTTTAGGAAAAAAAAATTATCCCTGTCACCACGTAGGAGAATGTACTGGAAAGTTGATAAGCTTGGGAGCAGAAGGACCAGATGACCATTTTGCCATTATTATTAAAATATTAGCAAATATTTGGAGAGTAAAAGTCAATCTTCTGATCCCTTTGCATATATTAATTCATTCAGTTCTAATAACAACTCTATAAGCTGGGTGCTTTTATTAGCTTTCTATGACAGATAAGGAAACTAGGCACAGGGAAGTAAATCATTTCAAATATCACACTGCTAGCAAGTGGGTAAGCTGAGATTTGAAATCAGAGTCTGATTCTAGAGCCTGTACATTATCCACTGTACTATGATGGGGAGGGAAGATAGAGTTGATAGTGGTTTTCATCTAATTCTCAAAGGATTTTCTAGGAGAAAAATAATGAGGTCAGGATCAAAGAGGGACAAATGGAAAGGCAGATGGTGAGGAAATTGGTGAACAAAGAGAATTAGAAACAACAGGAAATAATGACCTATTAGTTAAATATAACTCAATTTTCTGGGTTCAGTAACTGAGGGGATGTTGATGACATACCTTAAAATCATCAACATGTAAAGAGAAACATGTTTAAGGGGGAAAGATAATAAGTTTAGTTTGGGGTTTGGGGCATACATTGACTGAGATGACTATGGGAGATTCAATTCTGGAAGTCAGAGAAATAGGAATTTGGAATTCAGGAGTGAAATCTGGATGACCACATAGATTGCTGTGTCCTCAGAGGAGA